CGAATCAACATTCACTGTGGAATGCATCAAACAAGAATCAATCACTGATAAGATAAATAACTACCATGGTTTATTATCTGAATTTGAAACTATTGACATAATTAGTGGTAGTAAAGAAAGAAAATCAAATGTACATAATATCAAATCAATTAGTTCAACAATGAACAAAATAAAACAAGAAAATAATTGCATTGAATATGAAATTGTTAACATTTTGTGATAAAACTGAATTGCAATGATCATGCACGTTGATGAAACAATAATTGATTCTTGCAAGTCAAATGTGGACAATTTGAAGTTCGCAGTTTTAGAAAGAGATATCGGCTGTCGTTGTTTTGCGCTCAAATTTATTTCTCCTTGAAATCGAGAATCAACCTTCTAAATTGAAGTCGGGTTTCGAATTATAGATTTGACATTGGTGTACCTCAATTCGAAACAAAACAAGGAATTGAGGAAAAGAATAAATCAGAAACTCATGATCTATTTTCTATTCAATACAATTTAAACAAAATGCATCAACAAGTTTCTCCTCAATATCCACATTTCTCTACTCAACCAAACATTACAGAACCTGGAGTGAATTATCAACCACCAGAATATCAACTTTACCCACCTAATCCTCCTCAATACATGTATCCACAACCAAACGCTCAATATTTTCCAGTTATCACTTCTAATCCTCAATTTGTACAACAACCAATAACTCCCCAACCATTACAACTAACCAACAACTTTAAACCAATTCAATCCACAACTAGTAATAGTAGCTATGAAAAAGGTGGTCAACAAACAAATTTCCAGACCAATGTAATTCTTCCTCAAACCCCAACATTTGAAAGTACCAATTTTGATAATCCAAATTGTGGATTTGCTGTCATTGAACAATCTGCAAATGAGTGGCTTGTCCAACGATTGGAAATCATTAAAATGCTGGACAATTTAATCCAATCATTAGAAAAGAAACAACAAAGTACAGCAAAGACCAAAGTGAAAGGTACAAAAACCAATATTGTTGGAGCTTCCTTGATTCTTGGTGGTATCGTAGCTGCTCCTTTCACTTTTGGTGTTTCATTAATTGCCTCAGGTGCTGGTATTGGTTGTGTTGGTGTGGGAACAACAGCAACAGTTGCTGCATCAATTGCTGAATGGAAACATGCCAAGAAATCAGCCAAGTCCATTCAAGAACTCTTACAAAGGGATACTCAAGCAGTAAATGCAATGATTAGAAAGATTTATGAACAAAGGTTGACTGATCCATACATTGATAGTAGAGTTATGAAAATTGGTAATAGAAATGTCAACGTTCTTCAATTTGTTGAATCTCTGACAGGCCACAAGCATCAAGATTTGGATAAATCTGATGGATTGACTAATGGCCACACAGGTATTATGAGTTTAACAGGATTGATGATTAAAAGTGCCATTCCAATAGTTGCAATTCCAGTTGACTTGGTATTATTGATGGATGAATCAAAAAAGGCCAATGGAAAGGTTCCATCCAAGTTAACTGCCAAATTAACTCCAATTTTACATTCAATTAAGGTGCAAACAAACAAGGCAATTGGTTGCAATTTGAATTGATTTTTTTAAATTTTGTAAATAAACCATTGCTATCGATTCAATTCTTCAATTTCTTTTCAATATTATTCAATTGATTGTTTGGACACTGGGAAGAACTTTCAAATAAAAACTGCAAACGTGTTTCTTAATAGAAATCTAAAAATAAAAAAATGACTTCAAAGGCTTTTGATCATAATTTCAAACTTGTGGTGAGTTTTCCAATTTATTAGAGTATTTGCAACGACGATGATGATGATGAATCGATTATTTTGGTTTGGTTCGGTTCGGGATTTAATAGCTTGTTGGTGATAGTGCCACAGGAAAGGTTTGTTTTTTTAAAGATTGATGAAGATAATTAATTCCGATAGAGTAGTATTATTACACAATTTACTGAGGATGAGTTTAAAGAACAAATGTCGCCAACAATTGGTGTGGATTTGTATGTTTTTAATGAATAATTATTGAATTTGGATTTAATATGATGATGACGATTTTATAAATAGCAAGGTTAAATTTATGAATGTAAATAGGAAGAAAGTAAAATTGACTGTAGGTAAAATAATAGATTTGAATTTTTCTAAATAATTGATAAAGATATTTGATACTGCAGGTAAGTGTATAAATAAGAAACAGAATTCTCTAAAGAATTGAATTAGGTCAAGAGAGATTTAGTAAGTTTGCTTCCAAAATTCACTGATCAATTCTAACAAAATTTAAGGAACTCTTACATCAAGTTATTATAGTATGTATTTTGAGATTTATATTTTAATCAAAATATTTAGGAAATGCTCATGGAATAATTCTTGTTTATGATGTTACTAGAGAGGAAACATTTAATAATATTAAGAATTGGCTTAAGGAATGTGATTTATATTCAACATTTGAGGAATGTGTAAAATTATTGATTGGAAACAAGATTGATTTGAAGGAAGAAAGAAAAGTTTCACTCCAAGACGCTCAAAACTTTGCCAAATCCAATAATATGGTCTATATTGAAACATCAGCCAAAACAAAGGAAAATGTTGATAAGGCATTTGAGGAAGTTGTCTATCAAATACTCAACACAACTAATCTTCTCGAAAGTACTGAACCAGTCAGAAATAAGCCAACTGATAATGTAAATATTTCAACTAGTGAACCAAACGAAAGTGAAGGAGGTAGTGGATGTTGTTGGTAAATTGTATAACTTGATTGACCATACCTCCAACT